AATGGCCGGACATCTCATCTTACATTTGAATTACAATTTTATACTTTGGTGTTTATTCTAAATAATAGTGCTCATCTGAGGCTCCCAGAATTCTCTCTAACTAATTATTGTAATAACTGTTAAAGAGAATTGCCTTACCATAGATTACAGTAAATTTTATAAAACCAGTATAGAGAAGATAGGAGTGACTCAGGACCCACTAATTCCCTGCAGTGGGCAAAAATTAAATTGAGTGGAATATTCCTCAAAACTCTTTGCTTTTAATCACGATTACATCAATATCGCATAACATTCACCATTAAGCAACAGAAACTTCTAAGAGAATTTTTTGATGAAATACATTTACGTTCTTACGTGTGCTTATTTTAGGCTCCAAACAGATGTAATTAATATATAAAACATTAAAATAAATAATATGTGCTCATCCAGAAAATAGATATATTATTACTTCTGAAGAAAATGAGAGATCTATTACTACAGATATTCTGCATTAATCTATTATGCACACCAGCTACTAACCATGAACTGCTAAAGTGACGTAACTACAGCAGCATTTAAATCTTGCTAGTATTACTAGTGGATCATTGGATAAATGTTCAAACTTCTACTGGCTCTTAAAAAAAATTCAAGTTTTACCCATAAAATCAATATATTTTGTTGATAAAGAATGATGAACAAGGAAGTGGATCAAGATGGGTTAAGCTCTACAGTTCACAAATACCAACGTTTCCAAGAGACATCAAGAAATACACAGGGTTACTGATTCCAGACTTGAATCTTGGAGTAAGGCATTAGTTTGGGCACAGGCCTGTCCAGCACACTAGGACAGGCACTGGTGCCTGTGGTGTAGAACAAAGAGGCAAGATGAAGAGGCACTTTTTTGTGTTAATCCTTAAAAGCAGTAGGATTCATCAAATGCAGTTTTAACTACCACAGTTATTGTGTTGGTCTTGAAGTGTTTGAGAACCTTTCTAAACACAATCTGGTAACTACTTGTTCCCTTAGCAACTCTGGGGGGCACTTTGTATGAGCCCAGTCCACTATTCCTCAGCCCCTGAGGACATGGGAGGCACCTGGGAATGCCCAGTGAAAACCTGGCAGGCTGCAAATGCTTCCTCTACAGAGAAGGAAGGAGCTTGTGTGTTCTCTGCTGTTGCCACTCCACTGCTTCCCTCCTACGCCTTCTTGGCAGCACGTTGGGAGGGTGGGAAGAGAAATCTTGGCTGTGCCATATGGTTTCCCTCTAGCTACCCAACCTTTCTGTCTGCAAATGACTCTATCTTTTGTCTCTACTGCAGCTCAGGCTTTCCCAGCCAGCTGCACGATGAGCTTGACAAGTCTCTTCAGTTCTTCAGCTGTGCATGCTGCTCTGAACAGCAGCCAGCAACATGCAGGGTGAGCTTCAGCTTCGCAAAGCAGCAGCTTAGGAAAACAAGGACACAGAAGTACATATACCTTTCTTATGTTTGGAAGGTTGTTTGTTGTTGCTTTTGTTATATCATTTATTTATTTTTAATTTCAGCTCCCAGAGTCAGAAATTTATCTGACAAAAATAAGTTTTACTTGCCCAAGAAAAACATACCCTTACGTTCCCAGAAGCAAAACAATCTAAATTCCTCTGGAGGACAGGGGAGGGGAACATGAAAAATTACCTCTAATGAGCCTACTAAAAATCACAAATTTCTCGAAAAGAAATACAAAAATGTAAGCAGGTCTCAATATTCTTTTTATCTAAATACTAGTTCCTAGACAGTTGAAAATGGGAGGGGAGTTTGTAAAGATAAACAAGGAAAAGAGCTTTAATTTTTGTTTGCATGTCAGAAGGTACAGTTTAGAGGGAATTATATTGTCATGTTCTGGAGTGAAAAGCGACATTCATAGAATAAAACACTATATTCCATTTAAATCCTTAGATACTGTTTGCAACTGTTACATTTTAAAGAGATAAGTTTAGAATTTGCAACCCACTGTGACTTTGAAAATTACTTCAGCCAAGCTAGTTTGTAGGAATGGTAGATATATTTTAAATTCTCTAAATCTTTGCAAACAGTTGTTTAGCCAATTCTTTATTAAAGTGGATTGCTCTTTGCACTTGCAGACTTTAAGCTATGGCAGACCGAGTGTCTGTTTTAAAGGAATAAATGAAAAAGCATCTCAGCTTGCTCACTGTAATTCAGCTCTCAGAATAACTCCAGAAAGAAGTTTTTCATGACTACCCTTTGCAAACCCATTATTATGCTGCAGATGGAACTACAGAGCAATAAATTACATGTATATGTATATATACACACTTTCCTAATTGTCGTATACATTATGTAGAGTACAAATGGCAAAAGCGTGGTCAGGAGGAGTGAGCTATACTAAAAGCTTTGTGTCGCAATCTCCTCAGATCTGAGGATGCACAGGTGTTCTGCGGATATGCTGAGCCACCTGGTCACATAGCAGAGCAAAATGGAAATACAGTTACACCCAAAGAGAGTGCTCAGCTGGCTGCCAAGGTCCTGAAAACCATTCCAGCATATTGTGCAGGTGTGGAAGCGGTACGAGAGCATGACACAAAGCATCTGCAGATCACTATAAAATAGCCTAGCATGGGGGCCAGAAGTGGAGCCCTGGCGATTCAAACACCTACTTAACAGGATCGTACTTACCAAGGAAAAGAGAAGGGAGGAGTATGCTCTTTGTGAAGAAGGTGGAAAAGTGCCTGGTGCCTTCCTAAGAGTTACATAGGAGCATGAGCAACAATAGTGAGATGTTAAAACGCTAGCTAGATTTTTGGAGGATGATACACAAGGTGGGGTAGATAAAGGACGGCCACTGATAACAGTGGACTGCCTGGTACATGCACCCACATCACCACTACCAGACTTATTTTGCTTGTCCACACTTGATCACTGACGATTGACCCCTTACCGCTTTGCAAGGCACGTATTATCTCACTCCTGCACAATATAGCAGTGTGCCAGTTTAACAGACCTTGTATGTTGTCACTACCTGGTGACAGACTGTAGATTATTCAGTGCTTCAGTTCTGAAGAACCCAGCACTATCAAACATTCTAGACAAACGCTTGTGTCACTGCCTTTTCAGCAGTCACTAAACATCCCAACAGAAACTCATTTTCGCTCCTTGTATCTTCTTAACTTCTTCACAGTTTACACAGGGCATGTAACAGCTAAGATGAAATTCAATTTCAAACACACCTCAAAAGAAAGACAAGCCTAATGTGAAACTGGACACAACTTTTCTATAATTCTCCTGCTTCAAAGAAGATATGTTTCAGTGTTTGGAGGCAGAGTGCACCAAATTGCCAGACAAAAGAAAAGTACATTGTCTAATACATGTTACTGTCATTTTGTTTTTTAAAATGTATTTAAAAAACTAACAAATCAACAAAAACTACAACAATGTCCTCAAAAAGCTTGGAGAACTTGAAAGATGTCTATCAGAACACAAATTAACTGATATTTCTATAGCACCTTCAAATTTATTCATATTCAAAAAGGGAGGGGGGAACACATTTGACTCAGTACATCCACTGCTATCTTGAATGACAGTGTTAGAATACAAGACAGGTTTTTTTTCACATCGATACTTCAGAAGTCACATTAATTTTATGAAAATACTGAGTAACTCTGTACCATCATCCCTCCTGCCTTTTATACTTCTCTAAGGACCACGTTAGCTGTCAGCTGTAGCTCTGTACACCTGCAATCAATCACAGCTTATTTACTCTCCTGCTACAGCTCAGAAGAAAAGTCTTCACCAGAAAGTCACAGAAATATGAGACAAAGTTGTTTTCAAGGCTTCTCACAATCAGCCAGAAGAACTGGATATTATTTTTAGGAAATAAGAGAGTTGGTGTCTTGAGCCAGACTGCAAATAACAAAATTAAATCCTTTTAAAGTTAACACAGAAGTGAATTTGTAGTTTACATGGGGATAAGAGGTATAATGAGCTGGGAATATGGGAAAAAGTGGAATGACAAGGAAATTGCAATGATGCCATCAGTCTAGTCAGCAGAACAGTATTTTATTAGGCAGAGAAGTAATTGTTGAGCAATGCTCAAAGAACTCCTGCCGTGGATAGCTGAGAACCTCTCTTGTGCTTTAATTACCCCTAAATTTCAAGAGTTTTTGAAAGATAAAAGGAGGAGCATGTCTTCAGTGAGCTCCGTGACAAAGCCAAATAATAATAATCAGATAGTTTTATAATGCATCCGGTATCCAAGCTTTTTTATTTTGGGACTTCTCATGATTTTGATCTCTGCCTACACAGTACACATGCCTGTGCACAGGTAACTGGCTGCTCGATTCTTCTGCCTTCATTATCAACAAATGCAGCTGAATTGAGGGCACCTTGCAATTTTTTTTTCTATGAAAGAAACCAAAGTGGAGCATCCAGAGCATTTCTGCTACAGTGTTATCTAGGCTTGCTGTGTCATGATAAATCTAGGCAGAATGATTCTTAACCAAAAGCACATACCATTATGGATACTCTTAAATCAGTGGTTCTTGATTTCTTTGTATGTCTCACATCAATCATATTAGACAGAAAATTCTAGCATGCATGGCTTAATTTTGTGTTGATGCAATTATCACAACAGTTCTAACTGGAAACGTAAAATAAATCAGAGTTACATTAAGATTCTGCTTAGATTCCTAGAGAAGTGTGACAAAATACATAAACAGGAGTGTTCAGAAGACAGTAAAATGTCTTCTGCACACTCCTGTGTACATATTTTGTTTCGATATCTTTCCTATCTGCTATGGATTTCATCTGTACACAGATGTTTGTTTTTGCTTTGTTATTGGTCTTCTTTAGTTTCATCTTTTCCATGTCTCCCCACTGGTATCCCTCTCGTCCCCTTTCCCTCTCTTATCTAGGTCTTGACAAAGCACAGGTACAGATAAAGGAATGGAAATGCAGCCATCGCAGCTCAAAAGCAGAAGTTTCTGATGTACAGATTCACGCTGTGTTTACCTTTTTCTTCTCTTTAAGGTAGACACGATACCTGAGTTCTGTCAGCCAGCAAATCATCACCAGTGTTCATTTACAACTACAGGTGGCTGTGCACTGCTGTTTCCACATTCCTACAGGTACACTGGTACACACGTGCTATGAAAAGTAAATTGCTTGTATAGGGGCTTAGCTGCCTCTGTAGGTTTCAGTATCAAAAGCTAAGAAATATTTACGGCAAAAGACAGTACTAGGAGTTATTTAAGCTGAAAGAGTTAACCAAATTGTAGTTCAGTCCTCTACTGATACTTAGTCCTGTTCCTTAGGGAGAGCTGGCCAACATGTGGGCCCATGCCAGCAGGTGGTATTACATAATGGCTGCTGAGGCATGCTGGAGCCAGTTTTGCCTTGTCTGTGCAGTACTGAGCATCACTTTCCATCAGATATACTCAGCTGCAGTCAACACTGCTAATACATCTCTGTAGACTTCACTCTTAGACATCCTCTTAATGGAAAGCCTACTGACAGAAGCTATCTCCAAGTTATAATCCCTGCAATCCTTTGTGGGTTTTCACATGTTACCGGATCATTTAAGGTTACTGCTTTATGACACTACTCACCAAATAGTCAGGACAAGTAATTTAAGATATAATGCCTTCTCAGAACACAAATGTCTGTGGGAGACATCACTGTGACTTTAGTGGTCAGCTTTTAAATTCAATCCCAGTTATGTACTTTCTGGCTCCCATGATGACTTCAGTACTATTTACACTTTGCTTACAATTGGTTGGTGTGTTGTTGGTTTTTAATTACGAATTGCATATTTATCAACTAAGTCATTCTGAAAGAATATTTCAGTATTAATCATCTAAAACTATTGCAAAATATAGCATGATTCAGAGCTCAGCATCCTATAAAAACTTTAAAAGTTTAAAGTACAGACAGAGTAAATTAAATATTTGCTAAGTGTAGCATAAATCCTTTGTCAACCATATAAGAAATGCTGGCAGGGCCAGGACAAAATGAGGCACTCGTTTTCCCTTCCCACATCTCTCCACCCTACTCAACTGGTTCGGTTTGGAAACTCAATTCCCTTTTTTTTTTTTTTTTTTTAAACCATGAATTTCAAAGCAAAGACTTCAGTGCTCTTTACCTATTAACATCACCTTCTTGCCCAAACCACACCACAGTTGGAGCCTAGAGTAGTTACAAATTGCATAGATAGGATAAAAGAAAAAAACAACTTAGATAAACTATTATAACTTTCTCATGTTTTCCTAGACATTTTTGACCACAATAAAGAATTACCGTGCTTAGCAGCCAGCACAGTAACATCCTATTGAAATCCATATTGAAAGCCACACAGACAATAACGTAGCTGCTCTAAGTTTTGTTAAAGAACTCTCACGTGATCCATGCTTTATCATATTTGATCTATTTTTCATTCTTTCTGTATACTGATCACTTCACACAAAGACATTAGGAGAGTGATCCCCAATCTATGGCTCATGGACAACATCCTCCAAACTGTAATTAAGTCATATATATATTTAAACCTGCATTTATATATGCATATAAATATATGTAAATAAAATTTTCTATCTATCCTAGTCTATAAAAATCTCTCTATTTCTGTATTTTTGGTTCACTTTAAGCATAGCAATTCATTTCTCCAGGTTTCCCATAAATGAGTGGATTAGAGGCAAGATTTGTCTACAGAGGTTAACAGAGGATAAAAGTTATACTTTAAAATTTAAAATATGGGAGGCTACGCTTTTCTCTGCAGGAATGACACTGGAGAGCAATGTCATTAAAAAGTAGCCCTACTGGAGTGACCACAAGCATGACTAATTGAAAAGAGAGCAAGTAAATTCCAACTTCTTGTTGAAGAATGTCACGTGGAGATTATCAAGGGATTTTGCACCTATCTGCCAAGTAAGAGGGGTAGTTCCTAGTGGAACAAAAAGACAAAAAGAGGAAAATGATTCAATTTGTTAAGGCTGGGAGGTACAAAGTGCCATTACTTCAGGGAAACAAGTCACATGTGGGAGGAGGGTGGCTCGAAGCATTATGTGGCAGTAGTGAATAATCTGCACTGAACAAGTCCTACAACCCAAATTTAGAGGCCCTTCTCTACTGACCACACTAGAAATAATAGGAGTTTCAACAGGCAGAGAACACAACAGTTACTTTGAAGAAGGTGGGGAAAAAAAATTCCTTTACTCAACAGTTAAGCATAAATATAATTAAGCTGATAGAAACTCCAACAAGAATTCTGATGTCCAGTAAAATTTTGATGTCCCTGTTTTATCTTGTTGTTCACCTTTGTTTGTTGTTTTCTGGTAATATAATTTTATCCTGCAACATTTACTCAACTAGAAAGGTATAGTTTAATCCAAACAGCTGAGGACTTAAAAGAGAACAAAACAAAATCAAAAATATGCCCATCACCACTCCTCAATGTCCACTTAAATAAATGCTTTGTTGTGTTTACCCCTCTGCTCCAAGGGAAAAAAATCCTAAAATGCCATATAATTTCCTCTTCCCTTTTCCTGAGTCTTTGCACAAAGCAGGTTAGTGCTTTCCTGCACTTTTTATTTTCTTTCACCTGGCAAAACACACAACAGCTATACAACAACTCCTAGCGCCTGCATGACTCACTTTCTAGGACTTTGCTTATAGGGATTTGTTTTGTTTTTTGATTCTAGGCTGAGGAAGGATGCCTTTTCTTCTTTCTGTCTGAAGTTTTGGGAGAAGAACTGTTAACCACTGGAAGGCCATATCTATCGAAAACTGTGGTGAACCTTAAGGCAAAGACTTGTTTTCCTCAGGGCAGGCTCCTCTCACCCATCTACAAACCAATAATTTTGTTTAGTGGTTTGCCTGCTTTCACCCTCAGTACTGGAAGATTATGAAGTGTCAGTACAAAATGCTTTGCATCCGCAGTCTAAAACATTACCCTGGCAGGTGATTTTGCAATTCTCCAAGATCCCAAATAGACTGAGGGTTTTGATATTTCTTGAGAACATAAAGCACTGTAAGGAGAAACACTTTAAGGATCTAGGCTTGATGTTTTGCTAGCATTAATCTGAGCAAAGCAGAAATGAAATTGAAGAAGCAGATGAGAAATGGTAAGTTGAAAACGCTCTGGATATTGACCAGCTATCATCCTGGAAGATGAGTTAAAGAGCAAAGGAACTTTTTGACTTGTGTATCCTCTGTCTTAGAAGCACAGCAACAGCAGTGATAGAATAAAGTTATTTAATCCAGCAATTTGACACAGAATCAAAATGGGCTTCCATAGCCACACCTGGGTGTTAGAAGTACTCCACCCAGTTTCCTTAGTTAAATATTCATGTCATAGGACTGAATCTTTGTGTGAAGGGTAGTGACTGTATTCAGGTTGCAAGTAGGTGTGAGAACTCTTATCTAGATGGAGAATCCTGAGAAACCTTTAGACAGATATCTGGTTATATGTCTCAAAAACTGACTAATCAACACCTTGATGTAAGAGGAGAGACAGCGTTAGAGCACTGATATCTGACTGCTAGAAAAAAATGGAATTTTAAAAAGTCCAGATGTTTTGTAATCATTGTCCTAGTGAAGAGGAAATGTATAAGTACGGAAGGATTAAGAACGTTCTACTCATTCACTCATTTTACTATCAGTAAAAGCCAATCTCAATTTAAAATTGGTCTTCACAGGAGCAAATATCTTTCAGCCTAACTATACTGAAACCTGTCAGATTAAAGTCTATTTGTATGTAACTATGTAATTTAAGGTCATTTGAGTTTTCCATGTTGCAGGTATGACTCCTCAACTTGTATTAAACTCCATTTTATTCCTACTGAAACTGTACGACTGCAAAATGCAGGTTTATCTGTTATTTGATGCTGAAATTATTTTTTATTGAGAGCTGAATGCAGCAAGCAGTCAAGTAGTTGTTTCTTCATCTATAGTAAGAACACTGGTCACATTGCTGTACTAATTTAAGCAGTCTTAAAAATATTAAAAGTGATCATAAAATTATGGCCATGCTGTCTGCTTGAAGGGGTACAGGCTATATGACAAATCATCTTCAAGGTAGATCTGCACATTTTAAATACAAACAGGAAACTAATCAAGCTGTTTTCCTTCATTTACAAACAAATTCATGAACACAAATTCCTCTTATATAGCTATTCTGAGAATAACTGGATTGTGCAAACGTAGCCAAGGACAGAATGTATCATGTAAAGACATGAAAAGGAATTGAGTTTTATAAATCCAGTGATAGAATACTTTGCAGAATTGACATCTAGAATTTTTTTTTTCAGTGTTTAGTAGTGTTACCAAAATTCTATTTGCAAAAATACTAGAAGGTATTTTATATTAAAAAAAAAATGAATGTTTTGCACATTAAATGGGCTAGAAAAATGAAGAAAATTAAATATATTTTAATTTTTTAATCATTTATTAATTTCTCATAGATCTATTTGCCCTGGTGAACATACACAATTTACATATTTGCTAAATACATTTAGAAAAAACTCTTAAAGATTTTTATATAGCTGTCCAAAACCAGAAAACTATAATAAAACAGAGTGATAAATGCCAGACAGATTTGCAAAGAGAAAAGTGGAAATCTTTGAACAGAACTAGGAATACATCTCAATCAGCACAAGGGCTTTTGATGAGAGAATAGCATTGATATGGAATGATGTAGATTTTTTTCAAAAACAGTGCAATGAAAGAAAATATTTTAACTTTGTAATTTGGGCAACACAACATTTATTCACTGGATAACACTACTAAACAAATGAACTTCAACATTTTTTTTATTTCCTTCTGCTTTACTAGCACTATTTATGAAAGTCAAGTGAAAAGGAGAAACAAGTTGCATTGTATATCAAGAAGAGCTGCTCTGAAGCACTAGAATGGGTAAGATGAAGATTTGTTAAACAACTCTGGAAGAAGATGAAAGGAGAAAACCAGGTTATACTATAATAGAAGTTTATTATACACTAGTTAATTGGGTGGAGGGAAGACTGTTTTTGATCAAGCAAGGGAAGCATCCAAAAGGACAGAACCTGACGGCTTTAATTACTTCTTGGAATTATTTCTTTTTTCCTGTTGGAAAAGAAATACAAGACAGAGACAGTCCAACAAGTTCTTGGAATATGCTGGGGACAGCTTTTTCTTCAGAAGGTGAAGAAAACTATTAAGGGAGTGGCTATTTTAGATCCTCTTAGTAGGCACGAACTGGCTGAGAGTGGAAGGGGATTTAGGTGAAAGTGAACTGTGTTATATAGTGATGAGTATTACTGAAAGAGAAAATAGCAATGTATATACATATACAATCTTTTTTCAGAAAACAAAACTAAGTGTGAATGAGTTCCAGAGACTGATAAGCAAGGTTTCTCAAGAAGACTATTTAATTAATAAAAGAATGCAGGTGAGCTTGTCTGTTTTAGTCATTGCTAGAGTCAGCTCTTAATTATCTGATGCAAAGGGAAAAACCTAAATTAGACAAAAAAAAAAAAAAAAAAGAAAAAAGAATAATACAAACTAGGCTTTATAAATTAGTCTACAAGACTCTATTCAGTACATTCACCTTTAATGGGCTTATGAACAGATTTCTGTAGAGGAGAGCAACAGAGAGGAGTCTGGTGCAAACAGTTTATGTTCTGTGTCATGCAGTTTTGTACTGCTCTCCCAAGAAGTGCTGGGGGAAGACTGTGCTTCATTGAAGCCCAATCCCCATAATCCATCTGTCATCATCAGATGACTACATTATTATATACTATACCAGATTATCCTAAAACAAAAGAAACTGCTGAATTCTCTCCTCTCCTTTGACTTTTTTCCTCTCCCTCTCTGCCCAATTCCTATGAAAAATAAATTTCCTTCCTTTTTTTTTCCTTAAATTTATCTATCAGATGATCAGACCTTTGTAAGAATTCTTTGCAAGGAATTAATATACAAAGCCACCAGAACACCTGTTTGCACTGTTGGAAGCCTAAACTGGCTTCCATGGTCCATACTTCATTATTTTGCAGTTTCATAACTGCAAAGAACTGAACTCTATTTGTAGGTGTGTTTTTACACTACCAATGGAACCAAGATGCTGAACGAGACCACAAGTGATGTTTGGGGTTTATATTGTCTATTCAATTAAGACCAATGAGTCTTTTCCAAAGGCTTCAAATAGAAATTAGTAGATAAGATTTCCGGGTTTGACCAGACTAGACGAGACATTTATTTGTTTTAAAGACAGAACACTTTAGGTCCTCATCAAATATATTCAGATGAATATTAGTTCCACAAAACAAATCAGCAACAAAAAAATCAGCTTTTGTAATTACAGCACTTTTGTTAACATGAAAAAAAAAAGTATTTCTCTCTCCACAGAAAGATTAAAATAAAGACAAGAATGATATTGCACAACATTGTCTGCAATCTGAAATGAAGTTCTCACATTAAAGCAGAAACAATTAGCATTTTCTCTAGCTTGCTTCCATGAAACAATACTGCTGCCAAACAAATGAGTAACACTACATGAACTAAATGAACTTTAGCAAATTAATGCGTAGCCCTTTTTCCTTCTCTGAAATAAAACTTTCACAGAAAACAATGGAGGTTAAGTAAGAAACCATGGAACTGTAACTGCCGTTCATTTATTATTTTGGCTTATGTATATTTTATAATCAAAATGAAAAAGCCATATGGTTTGTGAGAACATGTGGAAGATCTCCTCGAGCCATTTCCTTTGTTGGCTGTTCATGCCAGCTTACAGCAATTAAGTACCTTCCTACCTTCCTTATTTCCGTATATGACATTTGTTTGAAAAATTTCCAGTACTTCAAATACACTTCTTTTAAAGGAAGATTATGTACAACTATATCTTGTATTAAATTCTGTTTTCAGATTAGTCATCCTCATTGTGATATATCTATATATATACTTATCTATACGTACATAGACGTTCTTTGTAAACATAGATGCTCAGTTTTCTCTTACCTTTCTAAGTGCTGCTGGTAACGAGGCGGTAGACATTGATATTGATGGAAGAACGTAAGAGTGTGGACAGATTACTGATGGTAGTTGGCTCTCTTGAACAGTATAGCGTGTGCCTGATATATCGTAGTACCTAAAAGGAGAATAAATATTGTCTAATTAATACATCCTAGTGAAATAAAGTCTGAGTGAATATCCTCTGTATTTCTTGAAAAATATGCTAAACTCTTTTCTCCTGTTGTACTGGTTCCAGGCTTCAAATACTTATAAATCACATAGCTTTTTTAAAGCCAAACTACTCACTACTCTTACTTACATATTAATTCATCCCAGCTGCTTCAGCTATCTGTAACCCTGACTTGTCAGCTCTTTCCTGATACCAAAACAAATGAAAATGATTACAATATTCAGCAAGATAACCACATCAGAGCCACAAGCGAAGAAAAGTACTCTTATTATCTTATGACACTCCATCTCTACAGAACAGCAGATTACAACATTTGGGGCTTATTGTTTCATATTACATCACATGCTGCTCACCTTCCTTCCTGAAGCTGTCTCAATAAAGTATCAGTTGAATTAACAAAATAGGAGGTCATTTATTGGAAAGATACTGTCACAATGACAGTGTATATAATCTTTACAATAACACATAAATTTTGCTTCTGTTTTTTTGCAGTGTCAATTTGAATTTTGGAATCCAAAGAATGTGGAAAAGTTCACATAGTTTATTCATAAGTGAGAAATAACTCAGTTATTTCTCATAGTAGAAAACGATTGACAACTTGTATCATCCCTTTCATTTTGCTGCCTGAAGAACCAAAGCAGCACAGTAGCAAAAAAACAAAGAATTCTATGAAGATACAATTTAAAAGCTTGACTAAAAATGACATTTTGTATATTTAATCCTTCAGACGATTCAACAATTAGTTGAATTAACAATTAGTTAAAATTCAGCTTTTTTAAATCAATGCATTTTGGTATCTTCACTTCTAATTTGGACTGCATTTTTCTTAGGTTCACTGCAAGTGATCCCAGGAGGTTTCTGCGCCAACCTGCTGCAGAAGCAAAATCAGCTATGGGATAAGACCAAGTTGCTCAGTCCTTTAACCAGTCAACTCTGAAAATAAAAGCACAGAGACATCAGTCACCTCTCTGGGGAAACAGTTAAAATACTCGTCCAGTCCAAATCTCTTTCTTTTGCCTGTTGTCTCATAGTCTCTTGCCATCCTGCATTGTACCACTACAGAGAATCTGTCTCTGCCTTGGTGACTTCTCTGATTGTAGTTGGAGGCCTCCTGATTCCTCCTCACACCCCAGAGCAGCTTCTTCCCCTAGGCTGAACAAGCCTCCATCCTCCATTAGCCTCACAGGCACCAACCCACTCCCTCCCCCCAGCTGTATTGGAGGCCTTCCATTCAACTCACTCCAGTTTGAAACACTGACAGATTTTTAGGTATCAAATACCCTTAACAAATACTTTGCTGTCAGCAAAAACAATGTCCCAAATGTTTTGTTTGTTTTGTTCTTCACATGTGTGCATTTTCCATTTCAGTTAGCTCAAAATTCCTTTTCCTGTAAACTTTTCCTCCAGACTCATCACAAAGTTCCAAATCCAGCTCTGTTTGTACAGCTCTAGTTGCAAATTCAGTTTTATGCCTGACTGTCATAAACTTTTCAAAGAGTAAATAAGGGAGCAGAGAAGCCTCAGGCTTATTTATAGAGGTATTCAGTTTATTGCATAATTGTGGTGAAAATGCTTTGACATTTTAACACATATTCCAATAAACGCATGCAATTATTTTGTTTATTTACCTATTTTTAAGGAAGAAACTGTGCTGCTCTCAACGGCTGGTTGCCTTTTCCAAGCCACAGCTGACTTTAAGCTGTCTGCCTGGATTTGCATTTTCTGCCTGCTGTCTCTAGGGCCTTTGACAATGGGAGCTGCTTTGGAGTGGTTCCACACAAATTGTATACATGAGAATTCAGAAGTCATATTCACCACCTGCTCATCTAACATCGAAAGACTGTTACATCCGATCCTATCTGGTATATCTGGAGGCCTGTGTTCAAGGAACAACAGTACACTGAGGACTCAGTGACCAAGTGGTTTTATCAGAGCAGGGGAGCAAGTGACACACTATGGGCAGGTGGGTGGGAAGGTGTTTGGTTGAAGTCTGTATAAGAAGGAAAATGCAGAACAATGCAGGAAGCAGATGGAAGCACTGTCAAGCATAGAGTTGATATACCCTGTGAGAGGCCACTTTTTGTAATGGTGCTGCTTGGACAGTGCCAGGCCTCTGTGCTCCCAGGGCTACATAATGCACATAATGTATGTCCGAAAAAAGCATGCCACCAGTCATGCATATCAGAATGACAAAAGGAGGAAGACAAGCCGTGGGAGCAAACACTTTTTAGGTAGGAAACAGAGGGCAGGGCCACTCCAGAGCTCTCCTCAGGCCTCTCCCCTGTGGGGCCAGTGGGGAGCTCAAGGCCAGAGTAGGGGCTATCTGGTCCCAATACACCATTAGACCTCAGGGTGCTGACAAGTCCACCACTTGGTAGCCAGGGAACTGCCCTTTTTAGAGCACAGTGCAATGATATTGTTTCATTCAGACACCTTTCTTTTAAAGAATACCATTTCAGGCCAAAAACTGGAGCTGACAAAAGCAGCAGGAGAAGCTTAAACCTGAAAACATAGCCAACCGTGGCACTTCAGATTTTAAAATGAAATAGCAGGTGTTTAAAAGTGTGCACAATTTCAGGTTTATTCTCTCAACAAACTACTGATGGCTGAGTTCCCCATTCTCTCCCAGAAGCTTTAATTTTAGGCAGCAAGCAGTTTTCTTGCACAGAGCAGCAGTACACTTCCTGCCTCAAGATATGGGCATGCAAGCAAGCTGCCATGGGGCAAGCTGGGGTGTGAACTCTGTGGTAACTGCCTGTGTAAATTCTCATGTTCCAGCCTAAATACGAAGGAGCTCGCTCCAACTCACTGCTGCACACGGCAGGGCGAGGGCAGGCGGACGGACAGTTACTGTGGGGCAGCTGACGCACTGCGAATCCACACCCTGGCTTTCCTCACCCTGACTTGTTTGTGTAACCATACTCACTCGTTCAAAGCCCCGCAGGCCTGAGGGGGAAAGAGTGTTTGCAACATGCTAGGAATGTTATGAAACTCTCCCAGACATTTTGCAAGGCCCATCAATTGTCTGAGGCACTCAGAGAGGAGGTTGTCTGCAGAGGTAAGAATTTTAACATCAGGAGAAATGGTGGGTTGCATATTTATGATAGACTGAGTTGTTTATTGTTTGTTTTGTGCATGGTTACTAAATAGTGTGACTAATTATGTCAAAAACATTCAGAATATGTTTACCTTGTCCACAGCGATGAGTGTCTGGCATGTTTTCATGTAGCTAATGAAAATAATAACTAATTCTGCAGTGAAGCAAAAGGAAGAACAGGCAGAAGGCCTTAGAAATTACAAAGCTTTTGAAAAGAGAGTGAAGAAGGAGAAGCTTTTTAGGTAGAAAAATCTTCTCTTCACAGAGACACTGGATTGCAGTGGAGCTACAGATTGGAAGAGTCATAAACTACAAAATAGAAATTACACCAGGAAGTGCTCTTTTTATGCTACAGACACACACCATAGACCCATTGCTCTTCCTTGTCCATGCCAAAGTCTCTGGTAGCGACACAGTGATTTCTATTAATTGTCTTAAAATATCATCTTAAAACATTAAGATAATTATTAAAAAGCTTTTTGAAGGGAATTAACCTGAAGACAAAACCACACAAATACATCATGGTAGGAACAATAAACAAAACTCTCAAACAAAAGTAAAAAGGAGATTGCCAAACGTTTTAAAATAATAATGCTTACTGTAATGGCAACCTTATAATTTTACAGCCACGGCTTCCCTCATCATCCATCAGATTCAGCCCTGATATTCATCTCCAGTCTGCTATTTTCTATAAGTCTTCAGACTGTATCCTGTAGATGATTCTTGAATAGTAATTCCCATTTTCAATCAACACTTTTACATAGGATGAGATCATGCTTTAAAAGAGCGTGTGCGAGCAAGAACAACTTGATTAAAACAGATACATTGTTTGTTTATTCAGGTCCTCTGCCCAGAGTGCCCACTCCCATGCCATATCAGCCCTTGAATTTTTCTCTGCAATGAGCATGTACCCATTCAATCAGCAAAGTGCCTGCACTGAAGAGTTACTCCACAACACGGAAAGGTACTAAAAGCAGTAATGGTCTTTCCCTCTGCTTGCCCACTGCCAAGGTGCTTTCAACTACAATGGGTCCACCTATGCTGCTAAGTAATTTATCACCCTGGATCACTCCCTGCTTCTGGTCCTCTAGTCAAACGTAGTTCACATGAATCACTCTGTGCCTGAGCTCTCTGGAGCAAACCAAAGGCTTCCTTCCAAGGAGGAGCTCAGGAGCAGCTCTGAAGATGGATTGCCGAAGGGGTGGCAGAGCAGGGATGGGGCTATGGCAGCTTTGTCTCCTCCTGCCCTACACCATCCTTGCTATCCTCCTGCCCTCATACACCCCTTGTGTGCCCACACCACATCCCACAGCAGGCATCATACCTTTGGCATAATGCTATAAGAACACCAGTCTTGCAGGCAGCAAAGCAGCCCTCGCATTACCTCAGATGCTTTGAACTGAAGCCACAAAAACATAATTATGGTCGTAGAGCCACAGGGACATCAGACCCAGGTCAAGTGTTATGCAGCACAACACAGCCAGTTCACTCCAGAGGCGTGTAATCTGGAGAGGTGTGGATGCATACATAAGGATTGCTCCCTGAGGCAGATCCTTTAGCAGCGCAGACTGTTTTAAACAAGTTTTTGTTTTGTTTTGCTTTGTTTTTATTGCACGTTATTTGAGGTGTTCTAGGTACAGTTTTAATATATTTTGAGCATTTCAAACAGCATGCTCTGGACTGAAGAGGTTTTCATACAAAGCTACTGCTTCTTATTCCTCATGTCATCTTTTCCACGAAACCAGTACCTGGACTTCTTCAACAGTGTAGCAAGCTCTTTCCACTGCCTCAACATTCCCATTATCGTATTCCCGGTTACAGTTTTTCTCTTCCCATCATTTTACATTTGTTCAGACTCCAGCTGACTTCAGGTCTTATATAAACTGGTTTGCTACACTTGGGTGACTTAGCACCTCTTCCATCCACACAGAGCTGCACGTGGAAAAAAGCTGGAGCGCACACACACATCCTGACAGGACACAAGTAGTAGACAGCAGTTGTGTGACTTTTTGCTGTGTCAGCTACGGGCTGCATGGGTGTGGTTTGGGGGGAAAACTGAATATCTCCAATCTCTTTTAGCCACTAGGATGGATTAGCGGCCCTGAGATCCTCCTGACGTGTGACACTGACTGGAGAAGAGCAGGCACCCACGCTCCGGTACCTGAACCCTGCCATCTAATGGCCAGATCTCAGATACACAGTTGAATCAAGTTTAACATTTCTGCCTCCACCTTCCTTGATCGTAGAGATTGTCTCTTTCAGTCATCTTAGGTCACATCTTGTCACAGCAGATGTATTCCTACTGGGCTACTTAGAATTGTCTTGTCATAGATCTTAATAATAACAGGGTTAGTACCTCACCTAAAAATTCCCTTTGTTTTAGTTACTCCTTTCGGCCTTAATGTCAGCCTAAATAATTTATTGCTTTGTTTGGCGAATTCACACAATTTAAATATTTGCAGGCTTCAGCTACATCTCTCACTCAGTCATTATTTAGCATAATCTTCCCTTTTGTAAAGGAATTCCTGTGTTCTCCTCTGTTTCCTTCTGACAACACCTCTCCGACAAAGACGTGTCTGGAGTTGGACACAATCTCCTGCTTCCAGCCATAACAAAATCCCAAAGAGTAGGTCTGCTGCCTCTTTGCTTTGTTCCACGATACATTTGCACACACAAAGACCACACAGAACTTTTTCTGAGCCACTGCAACACCACAAACTTGTCATACTTGTTGTCCACTGCCAGACCTATGTGTATTTGTTTTTTCAACCCTACTGCTTTCCCAGTACAATATATTAATTTCAGGTTATTAAATATATTTGTTTGCATTTGGCAGTTTGCTGAAGCTCTGAGCAACTCCTCATAAGATGAAATGGTTTCAAACTTCTGGCTTTCTTGTGCTTCAAACAGCATTCAATTGGAAATACTAAAGTCATTAGTCCTTCAAAACATGTTTTCCTGAATACTAAAACAATGTTGCTCTGTAGCCAAATCTCTAATATAGTGAATCCAAGCAGCTGCTCATTTCTTATTTTAAATAATCTTTTTCTGTTTTACAGGATAAAAAAAATGCAACTGTCCCAGAAATGATTGCAGCAGTTCACTATGTTTAAAGTTATCTATCTTCTTTGCCATCTCTATTGACTGGAAACCCAGTGCAGACACTTCAGCTTGAGAAGAGCTTCAAGGTTGTCTTTCAGGTAATCTGAAAACATAGTGAAGATTGTTTTTAGCCACACCAGTCATTACACAGCTAGTTAAAATCTTCATGAATAGCAGTGTAGAGCTGTACCAGATGCTCATCACTGTTTCACTCCTTTGTCTTCTGATAATCTCAGTGAAGGAATTTGATCACTGCAATAGGTTTCATTTTGCACTGTGCTGGTATCATAAATCTCTTACAACAATTCCATTTCTTCCTTTTTTTACATCTACTATCAAATTGTCATTCTGTATGAATATTGCTATGAGGCAAAGTATCATAAATTTCAGTTTACACCTACTACGGACAATCACCATTTTCAGGTTGTAGTTCTAGCTCTTGTTTGCATGGGAAAAAAACACAATCTAACACAAAAAACCCCAAATATAACACCTTCGTTTGCTACAAAATCACTTCAGCATAGTGACACAATTTCTAAAATGAAGTTTCAAGGACAGAACATTTTTTCATTTGATTATTGAGATTATTTTAATTCTTTATTCTAAAATTTGGTGACAATTTAGCAAACTGTCAGCTACTCCTTTTAAAGAAATTGGAACCTCTTTTGTTTATGTGCTGTCCACAAAGTGTAAAAAAAAGAGACCAAACAAATTATTTGAAATATTATTTGAAATATTACTGTAAGATGCCCTCCTTTCACTTTCAAGTCAGAAAAACTTATCACTGCCATCTGGCCACTGGGTGGCATCTCTGCATAGATGCTAGATGTGCCCCAACAAACCCACAACCTGTGACGACCAGTCCATTCATTCCACAGCCAAGTTCTGACACTACTGCAGGTCTGCATATGCAGCCATGTTTGCAAGATACCTAAAGTTTATTACAAAAAATTGACTTTGCAAAATATTACCAATATTTTCCATTTTAACTTTTTACTTGTCATTTCTGGGAATAAGAAACTACAAAATAATCCCTTGGTTATTTTATCAGTCTGATTGCTTGAGTAGGCATAACTATTGGGAGCTTTTGAGAATGTCTGACATTTAATTGTCAGATATGACACAGAAAGTATTTAACAATCTTCTCTTGCTGTGTAACGATAAAATATAAATCATGTCTATGACTGGGGGTTGGAACTAGTCAACTGTCTCTGGAGGTGAGGATGTTAGTAGCGCATATTCGTTCCTTGCCCACCAATTTGGCTTTGTTTGGAGTCTCTGGATGCTACTACAATGTCAGATGTAGAATCGCAGGACCGCTTGGGTTGGAAGGGGTCTTAGAGATGATCTTTAAAATCCTCAGCTCCAGAGACAATTTGGAGCCATGCTGCCCTACAATATCTTACTGAGTGTAAAACTAATCTTGATATTTATATTCTGGTCTAGCTTTAGAGCATTGTATAAACAATAATCATCACACACACTTGCCTAACAAAGGTGGTATCTCATTTTGTATAGTAAGAAGTTCAAAGAACCAGATGAAGCTGTTAGACAGAGGAGATGGAAAGCCAGCATCATTCATTTCTTTAAACACACGATGCTTTTCTTTGTTCATGTTGACTCACCCTGACTTGATGAGCAGAAATATCACATTCCCACATAAGTTTGCTGTCTTCTGTAACTACATCAACTGAAAAGTTTGCACGATTTCAGGGACATAACAATACTTCTGAACACAGACTTGCGCTTTCAACCTGCTCTTTTATGTATTAGCACTTGGTTCAAAGTGAGAGTTGGAAAACAAATAGCAAAGCTTGTGCTCTTTCCTCTTTAAAATTTGTTGTGTGCTCAAGTGATGTGCCTTAGACTAAATCTCTACTTCGAAAAAGTCTGCCTTATTTCTAAACACAGTGCCACTCCAGCAGCAAATAGGAAAGACTTTGACTCTTAGAAGAATTTCAGACCTTGAGAAGGGATGAAGCAGGGATGAGACACCAGAGCAGGGCCTCTCAAGTTCCCATGGGCCAGATGCAGGAAAGCCTGCACAGGATGGGTACAGGGAAAGCAGGGAGGAACAACCCACGTAAATACACCTTAAGACTTGGCCTTGTGGCAGAGCTGTATCCTGTCACACAGGAGTGACCACAGTGCTGGGCTGTGGCTGAGGACTGCAACTCCCAGCAAGGTCCCTTTCAGCATGGGATCCCAGAGGATGACCCTCCACAGAGCAGTCCTGTGCTTCACCTCAGTGCTCCAGTCTCTCCTGCTCCACTGATCCTGAGCTGCCCCTTTCAGGACAGTGAGGAGCAGGACAGATGAACAAGGTGCATGCAGGAGGTTTGGCTGGTCCTGTACAAACTCACCAATCTATCTGTTCATCACATTCTTCATAAACCACACCCTGCAGTTACAGCAAAGGAACTCTCCCAAAATGAGCTGATTTCATGAGCTAAATTAGCCCACTGCCTAGAACAAAGGCAACCAACTATTGTGGTACCAGCTTTTGTATACTCTCATCAATTATGCTAAGCCTAATTGAAACTCAGGCTTTTGGCAGCAAAGCACTGAGCCACCTTTTGCTGAGAAAATAACAGAGCAGTGTACGTTCAATTGAGATTTGTGATTACAAATTGCCTTCTTATAGAAATTTATTATGTCATTTCTGAATACTAACAATCTAAACATCTAGGAAACCTAGAAAACATTTCCTAACATAATACAGAAATATATATATATATTATACTTTATATAAAAGTGACATTGTAAACAGAGGCACCAGCCAAGCACATAGATTTGGAAATTTTGTTCTGAAAAGTGCTCATTAAAATTTTACTGATCTTTAAGTAGAAAGGAAGAACAATTTATTACAGTGGTTGACCAACTGTTCTTTGATATCAGGAGTGGAAAGTTGAGTTGAAGTGATATGTTCAGTAAGAAGTAATATGCAAGTATGAAGTTATGCTTAGATAAGTCATCTCATGTAAGATGAGATGTTTTGTTTGCTGTTTCCAAACTAGATAATGGACCATAATTTCAGGTTTCAAGTAATGATAACTTCACTGCATACGATGCTAGTCTGCATTTTCTCATTTGCCTAAAAACATGCACCTGCAGAGACTTTAATATAAACTCTAACATTTTACAATTTTGGTTTCAGAAACCACTGATTACACTCATTCAAATTCTCTGCATATTTCTATGTTAACAACTGAGTGAAATCTGAATTGTGATTTAAGGTAATAGAATGACAATACTCAATCAATTTACAGACATGCTCAACAGGCCAGGTCTATGACTCTCACGTCTTTGAGCAGTCTTCTAGTTGCATGTATGCTTAATTATATGTATGACAACAATTTAAAAATGCTTTAACACAGACACAGTTTAAGATCCAGCTTTTTAAAATCTATTTTCATACTTCCTGTGGCTTTATAAATCACGAATCCAGCAGAGAAAATAGTTTGGGAAAATCTTAGAAATTGCTAAGCCTATAAACAAGAGAACATTGAAGAAGGTGAAAAAGCCATCTGCAAGCAATGTACACATGCTCACAGATGCAGCACGAAAAGCAGTTTTGTCACAAACTCTAGCACAGCACCAAAATGAGATGCTATCTATTGCACAGTACATCCTGTAGCTCTACAGATTATCACCACACTCCTTCATTCCTGTATTTTTTAAGAGCAATGAATACAGATTTTAAATTCTGAAAGTTGCACATCAAAATAAATACACAGATGTGGATGTGCTCTCTTCATACCTCCACACAAAACAGGCATTCTGCCAGCTTGAACATCATACAGATCTACAATATGAAATGCTTCTTTGAAGTCTTATTGCCTTTTTAGAAAGGACTAACTTACACAGCATGGAGAAGCAAGACTTCATTATTTGAGCTTACTGCAAGGCAGCCTGCCGGCATCACTACAGAGTCAGGGATCACAGGCTTTGGCACAACCTATTTTCCTTCATCTTCTGAGGAATGACAAGTTCTGTATGTGTTTTTCCTTCCTTCAAATCCATTTACCATTCCCCTTTTTCACCTCCTCTTTTCCACAACTATCCAAAGTCATTTTGCAGGCAAGGAGGAAAGGTAAAAGAAAGGCTGTCAACAACAGGAGAGAGGGGAAAATAAGAAATGAGGACAAGCAGATTCTGGGAAAGGAGATGCAGACACACTGTAGAGAATATTTATTTTTTTTTTAACAAGGACACTGTCTGCCTGTTAACACTGTGTAAAACATTGTTATTTAAAATGATGAGCATTTCATACAATTCAGTGCACTTACTGCTGCTTCTACTTTGCTCTTCACCAGTTCTCTCCAAGGTAACTAAACTACAGCATCTTCAACTTTTGGTTATGGACAGGTTATCCTCCATCCCCAGTGCTCATTCATATCAGGGTGCTTAAATACTTCCTGAGCAGGAAACACCTCCAAGTTAATTATGTTAAATGGCTGGGATGGATCCTGCCAAGTGGTCCTGAACAAAGCAAAGCTTGCAGAGACTCCTTGTAATGAATGGCAATAGCATGGTCTCATAATGAGACCACTATATCATGAGAAAAATCCTACAAAAGAACCTAACTTTGAGGAAGTCAAGGAAAGGTTTTATTTCTATTTCTTGCACTGATCTGTAGCTATACCTTATAAAAAAAACCACCTGTATCTTATCTCTTAAATTTACCAAACAGAGAGTGAGAACAGACATGGCCATCTGAACACACATGCACTACTGAGTGAAAACCAGTTTGATTTGGCCACCATTAGCAATAACTGTCAGCCACACCTACTCTTCTAATTCAGTCAAGTCTTTTAGTAATGAAAGCTCTCTCTCCATGTGACAAGCAAACTTAGATATAGCCCTGCTTATCTTTAACTATAGATATCATCTATAAAATTATAACAAAATCTTAAGGGAGTGAACTTGCTCTTACTAGCCTGTGGCTATATTGTCACATAATCTTAACATGTCTACCCAGCATGGTCTGCACCAGCAGCAGTAATTTCCATGGTATTTGCTGAAGGAAGTAATTTTTGTGTCTCAGTGTCACGCTTCAGATTTCTGTCACCATTAAATAAATTATTTGGCATGGCGCTGAGTGACAAACTGCACTGTTCAAGCCTGCATACTATCTCAGTGATTCTAGTGCTTCATATACTTCCAGTGTATGAGCTCCTCATGTTTGGACAAGATTCGAGTATCCATTTAAAAACAAACAAGACCATCACATGACAGTGTTTGGGATGTTCCTTTGGAAGAAAAGGGTTTTATACCATCAGGCCTTGGTGGCCCAATTTGGGTCTAGGTCTTACACTGCACAAGATGACTAATGGAGAGTGGGGTACAAAGAGTAATTAAGTAAACATCTCAAATCACATCAAATAATTGTACGACGATTTCAGTCATATTTGAATTTTAAAATAGTTCACACATTAAACTTTATCCTAAAGCATCACTTGGAACAAATGTATTATGAGTCTTGGACTTTATACATGAATTACAAGTCATCCTGGAGCCAGTTCAAAGACTGATTAAGTCACTTAGGATGTCCTATTTACAACAGCTTACTATAGAGTCATCTGCCATCAGCTCTGTAGTTACCTGCTAAAACCTTCTATTTTAATTTCTATATTTGCCTACTTTCAACCCTCTGAGGTCTAGAACCAGTTTCACAAGGCATTTATCTTGTCATTTGTGACACAGCTGGGTCAACTTCTTCATGAGGGATAAAGGAATTAAAAACTCCCACACATGAATCCTTGGGATTTAGGGAAAAACATTTTTAGTACTGGCTTTTGTACTGTGTCCTGATGATCTTTCAAAGTGTAAGGTAAAAAAACTCCTTTTACAAAAGGCGTACTCACAACTGAAGGAGAGATTTCTTTGTAAAACCCTAAGTAATCCATGCCCAAAAGAGAATGGTAAACAAGTACGGTAATCAGTGTGGTTACTATATGAGAGATATATGAGAGAAAAGAAAGCAAGCACTCAAGTTTGTGTCATATTAAATACACAGTGAAACAAATGACAGTTTTACAGTCTTTGGACTCAGCCTCCAAACTCAGACCTTCAAGTGCTCTGAAAGCCTGCTCCAGGCTTCTGCGTACATTAACTGCATATATGAAAACACACTTAACCTGACAGCAGACCTTTCAAGCTGCAAATCTTCTCCCTGCAAAGATACAGACATCGAAATCTCTGCCAAGAGATATTCATTGTCAATTACACAGAACTGTATTTATTTCTATCTTCATATGAGATTACACTCACTTCAAAGAAAACAAGGATCAGCAAGAGCAGGCAGCGGAGGGTGAGAAACAATTGCTAAATGTTGAGGTTAATTCTCCGGATAAAGAGTTTGCTTTACTAATTCAAATGCTGTATATTGCTAAATTATAGATGTAAATATAAAATGACATGATTTTGTTGGAGTATCTTAAACAAATGCCTTTACTAAAAGACTTGATCTGTACTCTACTTCCATTAAAAGCCAGCACTGTAAATCTGTTAATTACAAATCTTTCTCATAAAAGAAACAAACAAAACATATCATTTTCTATTAATGCTTCCATTAATTAATGGGAATAAAACAGCAACTACAGAAAGAAGAGAACATTGAGGTGTTGGTTTCACTAATTAAAGCTAGTTCAACATCATTTTTGTAATGCAGTCTCACTAATAAACACATGCAATGACATTTTAGGGCCTTCAGAACAGCAGTGGATGGACCTGGAAGATCCTACCATTCCCAAGGAATGACCCCTGGGGTAAGGTCCAGCTGTACAAAGTCATTTGCACAAGCAAGTCTAATATCCTCTCCCTTAAAGATGTGTCATGAGCTAATGAAAACGGGGGCAATGAACACTAATCAAATGTTACAAATTTCAGCACAGAAATCAAGAACTAGCAGTGTTCATTTGACATGCTTACCTCACTACGAAACTAACTCTTTCATTGAAAAGTTGATTTACTTTTCACGTAGGACCATGCAATCAAAGTATTATCCCAAATCACTCTTATCCTCCCAGTGCTGATGTTTCATCAGCAGTCACATACTGTGTCAAAGTGCAATGTCAGAATCCTAAAATAAAAGGTATGGCCAAGATGTAGTCAAACAACTTGTATGTGTTAACTGGCATAATTCAAATCAATAAAAGCAGTGTCAGTGATAGAGAAGAAAAGGTGGCAGCCCTCAACTGACAGATAAATGCAGGAAGAAAAGGGGCAAAACAAACTGATTATGTTACTTGTGTTGTTTTTAGCTTAATTCTATGTTCTCAGTCATTCTTTTTTAAGGCTTTACTACGCAAATACTCAAGAGCTGGCTCAAAGAATATTTTTACTATAGAAACCTTGGCAGACACTTAGAAAAACCACTTCTCTTAAAAGCCTCTGCTTGTACCTCATGGAAGCCACACAGATCTCATTAAGGAGAAGTTTCAGTCCACCTCTCTTTCACAAAGCGTGCACAGCGGTAGATCTGTGCCTCACTCTGTACACAAGTACATGGGCACAAACAAGTGCCCTGCAAAGCCTGACCAGACTGAACCATAGACCACAACAACAGAAGATGCAGGATGACCGAAGGGTTTTGCTTTCCAGCTAACTTTTGAAACTGGAACCACCCCTCCTCCCCAACCCTCACCTGCATTATTAAATTGTAATTTGGTCAAGATTAAAGGACAGTGGAACGGCACAAAAGAAAGGGTGGAAAGCTGACCAAAATAAGCACATTGGTAAAGGGACTTAGGGAGACAAGAAGATTACTGAGCAGACGAAAATAAAGACACCGTTCCAGGCATATGAGACATACAGAAATCAGAGAAGAAGAAGTAAAACACTTTGGAATGTATGAGAGCCGAAAAACATACTTTAAAAGAGGAATAATAAAAGAAGCTGGGGACTTTTTCAACAGAAACTAGAAGGTCTCTTCAAACAATGCATTTCTTACTCTTGGAGGATATTACCTGTAGTTGTTCAATCTTTTGCAATTTGTTACTCTATTGCATATGTGCTGCGTAGGCACCATATAAAAATTCCAACCCAAATATTAGTCAGTGCACTGTAATCTTGTATTTAAGACAAAAATAAAAAATAAAAAAAAAATAGAGGGTATAAGAAGTAAAATCTATCATCATTTGCACTGCAGCTATGCTGAGAATCTCACTGCGGGAGGTCCTGTCCCAAAAAGTAGGTATATCCAGTAATTGGGAAGGGAGGTGACATAATGATCCTGAAACACCTGCAATTATCTTAATGCTTTCAGAATAGCAGCTGCTTTATCAGATTTATCACCACCACGACCCAGCATTTGACAGGGAAGATTGTGGCATTAACACCGGGTAACTGCAGGTGTGAACATCAAAGCCAACTGACAGGATGTGAGCAAGCTGCTGGGATTAATCCAAGTTACACAGAACATGTGCACCTCTCCAGTCTTTCGAATCAAGATCAACAAGGCAAAATGTTGACAGTCATTCATTTCTAGTAACCTCCATAGTAACAGATGTGTTGATTGTACGGCTCCATTACTAGCTACGTAATGATGCAGGATGGCAGGGAATGTCACATTATGGTGAGATAGGTACAATACTTTGGACCTGGATTTGTATTCATGTTTACATGCATTAACAATTCAAAAACATGTCACATTAAATCTTAAAAAATAAAACAAACAAACAAAAAAAGCAAGCATTACAGTCTCAAAGCTCAAGCATTACAAGGAACAAAGGAAAATAAGACAAAAATATAATGGAAGTAAAACACTACTAATGAGTAAAACTGCATTACATAAAAGCATTACAAAGTGTATATTTAATTTATTTTGTAAATAAAGAGAGGAAACATCTCCACTAGATAATTATGCAGCAGAGGAAATACCAGGCAAAAAATAGTCTTTCCTGTCTTTACTAGGCAATCTTATTAAGCTCTGAAGTCTAGGATTTATTTTTACTTATGGTAAGTTTACTAAAAAAAACAAATCCAGAAATAATTGTGCACTTCCTTCATTAAAGGTCCTGTGTTTCTTTGGTAACTGGAGTTATTTGACAGAGACCTTTCTGATCTTCAGGTAACATCTATTCTATTTTTCTCAGTCTTCTGAGCAACACATGCGCATAAATCTTACCATGCATCTAATTACTGGTATTCCCACCATGCTTTCATACCTTTAGTTAAGATAATCTACAAACTAATATAATAAATAGAGAAGGATCTTTTGTAAGAGGACAAACATCACTAACTACGGATAAGTACCTAAGAATGTCCTTGCTCTGACTGAGTCAGTGAGCAGGATGGGGTGGGCAAGAGGATGGAAGCTCACCAAAGGGACAATCTGTGCCATGGAATGTCGTGCTCAGCAATAAAAACTGTGTGTATGTGTGATGGGGAGAAGTTGTTCCAAAGTAACTCTTGCTCAGAAATTGGTTGGGCACCTGTCTGCTGGTGGACATTGATGGGTAATTGCTTGTGCATTACTTGATGATCACAGAATCACAGAATGGCCAGAGTTGGGAGGGACCAAAAGGATGATGAATCTCCAACCTCCCTGCCACATGCAAGGCCACCAACCTCCCCATTTAATACTAGACCAGGCTGCCCAGGGCCCCATCCAATCTGCCCTTGAACACCTGCAGGGATGGAGCATCCACAACCTCTCTGGGCAGCCTGTTCCATTGTTGCTGATGTTCTTTTTCCCTTCGCTTTTGCTGATTAAACCATCTTATCTTGAATGAGGTTTTTTTCTCTCTATTGCTCTTCCTATTCTCTCCTATAACCTGCTGTAGGACTAAGTGAGTGATCAGCTGATGGATGCTTCATTACTGGTGAGAGGCAACCTGCCACAGACTGAAATCACTCTAATGGAAGTATGATTAGGATCCCTTCACAATGATCTGTCCTCAGGTGAGTTAATGTGTTCACAGACCTATTCGAGAAATGTGTACTATTTTTTTGGCTACTGTGCACATACTTGCATTGATCCAGTTGGAATTCACTGTCCCATCTTGTTTCACTGTTTCTTTCACTTAATGAAATAATGTTCTTTTCATTCAATTCTCAGTGACTTTTCTACATGGAAAAAAAAAAAGAAATTACCTGATTTAAATCAGTACTGGCCATAAACGTGGTCCAGTTCAAGTGCATGTACCGTAACTATTCAGCTCTGATGAGCTTTTTGTAGCAGCATGTGTGTATTTGATGTTTTCCATGTGTAGCTTAGTGTTCTTTGCACCAATATCATAAAGGGCAGAGCGTGCCTCAGATCTCAGTTTCATCACAAGTATGCAAGCTCAGCTTGTTTTACCTGTACAAAGAGTGGCTGTAGAAGGTGTCCATGGACAACATGTCTTCAGGAGATCTAAGTAACAAACGCTAAAAAAATTCCTTTCCTCTATTTGTGATAGTCCATAGGTATGCACATGTGTAATTACCAGGGAATAAACAGTCAACTCAGAGGTGGAAAGCAGCTGAGAGACTTAAATGATTGTTTTGCTGAATTACCAAATCTGGATGCCCTGAGAAACCATACAGTGTTTCATGAATGCAAAACTGCAAAACTGTCCTTTGGAACTCTTAAAGAAGATACATACAGATCTTGAGCATGCTGGAGGCACTACTTCTGGGGCTCTGGAAGCCTCAGTGAATTTGACACATCTATTATTCAGAGGTCATTTGTTCCCATGGCTGTTTGCTGAACTTCCACCCGACACTGGCTGGCTCTTTGATGTGGTGGCATGTTGCAGCTGTCTTAAACATCAGCTCCCTGAAATCTTCTCATTTGCAGGGCACTCATCCAGAGAACCACTTCATCTTGAGAGGATGAAGTGGGAACAACATCTCTAACACCTGTCTATCACTGAATTACACCTTCTTGTCCTGGGGACTGCTCCTGAGAGATACAGGCCTGAAGCGAACTTCACTGGGCCATTCTAAATACCACAGATGTCCTGCATCCCTATGCTATACCAGAAATGATGTTTTCCTTCCAGGAACCACTCACTTTGGTAAAGACAGAGAATATTTACGGCTAGATTTGAAAACCAAAAGTCAAAAAGCAGACTACAGCACCTGTCCAGAAATGAAACTCTAATCTCCATAAAATCATAGAATGGGTTGGGTTGGAAGACAATCTGGTTCCAACCATTCCAACCCCCTGCCACAGACAAGGGACATCTTCTGCCAGATCAGGATGCCCAGGGCCCCATCCAACCTGGCCTTGAACACTTCAAGCATGGACCATCCATAGCTTTTCTGGGCAACTTGTTCTAGTGCCTCTCCACCCTGTGAGTAAAGAATTTCTTCCTTATACCTCATCTAAACCTATCCTTTTTTAGTTACTATACTCCTTGATAAAGAGTTTCTCCCCATCTTTCCCATAGGATACCTCAATGTACTGAGAGGCTGCAATGAGGTCTCTCCAGAGCCTTCTCCAGGCTAAAAAACTGCAGCACTCTCAGCTCTCTTCACAGGAGAGGTGCTCGAACCCTGCAACCTTCCTGAAGGAACTCAGAAGGTAGATTCCCATCCAGGAGGCTTGTTTTCCATTACTAACAGGAATGATCTGATTTGATTTACAAGATCCAGCTGAACTACGTCAGAGACAAGGTATCATGGCTAATTATAAAAGCTTAGGGAAACAGGATGAGAAGCAGAATTGCTACCTATCACATGCTTCTAGATTCTCACAAATGGTGAGGAGTCATAGAAATGGGGAACACCCTTCTGCCACAGTGATGGCCTCAGTGTTAAAGGCAGCAGGGACATCATGGAAACTGAATGTTCTCAGCTAAGCAATTTCAAATTCTTGGATCATTAGTCAGTGCTCCCCACTGCTCAGATGCCTTGAAGAAACTTGGGTTCTTGGTCAAACACACCAAGCACCCCAGGTTGTGCCAGCAACAAGATGCCACAGTCAGGGCCAGTGTCTGAACTGTTTCCTTATTGTCATTTGTTGGTGATTCAGACAAGCAGAGGGCACTCGCAGCACCACAGCACCTCTTCCTCACCAGGTACTTTGGAAGCAGGTCACCAACACCAGAAGCTGCATGAGCACCATTGGAAAATATTCAGTTATAGTTCTGGGAGGTGCTCACTATGTTAGATGCCCTGATCACTACCTACATTGTTTGTGTGTCCTTCTTCAGCTATGTGAAATCCCTTGCAAGGAACCTAAACCAATGGACCCAGGCTGATAACAGTTATTGAAAACTCAAGTTAAAAGCTCTCCGACAAACAAGAAGCTTGCGCCGAGGCTGAGAATCACAGAATCACAGAACTTAACAGAAGTAATTGAAGTAACTGAAACACATGGAAACCTTTATTCCTCTCATGTGAAGCATGAGTGGTAGCAGCAAATCTATGGATATCTGCAGATACCATCAGACTAGGATGTCCCTTTGTTTAAGTCCAGGGTAATGACAGGGGGGTTTCAGCTTCAATGGGAAAAGCACATTCAGTGCAACACATACATCTACCACTGAAAACAAATAACTATTGCTCAAAGGCAAACTAGTCAATTTAGAATACACATGCTGAGAAGTAAGAAGTTCTGCCAAGCCTTTTTCCAAAGGAACCATTCATGGCCCTGATTTCTCTCTTTTAGGTCAATTTCTGACATCTCCTTCAACAACTAGACCCTAAAGCACAGAAAACAAAAGTTTCCATGTTCATGACTAAAATTCAGAGGAGAAGAATGGCAACAAAGGGCAACCCAGAGAAGACAGAATAACTTTAATTAAATAAATAAAATTAAATAAGCCTGCCTACACTATAGTATCTATGCAGTATTAAAATTCATGTCAGCTGATATCCTTCATTTCATAGCTCTTTTCCCTCAACACTCTTTATATTATAAAATAATTTTGTTTTAAGAAATCATTCGATGTGGGATTTTTGTTTTCTTTAATTGGCATTCCGAACATCATATAAAGTGAATGGATTTTTAAAGCAAAGGAATACACTAAAGCTGCCAACAGTGCCACAGATTAATGAGAGACATGAGTATATCCACAGAGAGCTCAGTATACAGCTGAATATTGTACTGCCTTGGAAATATGGAAAATGTGATTCATAGAGTCATAGAATCCTCAGAGCTGGAGGAGAGCTTTCATGTAGTCGAGCTCCACTGCAGTGAATGGGGACATGCACAGCTACATCAGGGTGCTCAGAACCTGGTCCAGTCTGGCCTTGGGATGTAACCACTACACTGAAGATGTGCAGGCTTTTTTATATTTTATTATATTTCTTATTTTTAAGAAAATGTGATCTTCCTATAAGCTACTTGGGTTCAAAACTTTTTTGAAATGTAGGACTGACTCAGCCACTACATGCAATATTCCCCTGCCCAATAAAAGCAGCAAACAACACCATCTACCCTTGGAGAATCACACCCTGGCTGCTTTTCAAAGTCAAAAAGCAGGCACCACGGCCTGCTATTGCCAGCACGTGGCTGGTGACACCTGCTTCATTAGATGACAAGGACATCTCATTTGTAATCAGAAGCTAAATTTATTTATAACCATCTTCAAGTGTAATGGACATCCTGCCAGTAAGAAAATGCAGTCATTAAAGCAAAATGTATACATTAGAATGAATGCAAGTATTACACATTAGACAAAATGCAAAGTTAACAATTGAATTGGTATAATGTATAAAAAAATTAATGCCTATATTACTGATTTATATTTTTATTAAGTCTACACTACACATCTATGCTGCAATATAGAGTGCGAATTGGAGCACCCTGAAAGTAGACAAAAATATCTTCAAAAATTCTGAGAAACAAATCATCTGGTGACAGCCTGGGGGATATTCTGTCCAGAAAAAGAAACAAAGGAGTTGTGTGTTGGTAAAAATCATGCAGCATTGCTAATGAAAGAGATCTGTCTGTCTGTCTTACAGACAGGTACAACTGAAAAAAAAACGAAGACACAAACAGCTCTGCAACTTTTATGGAGCAAAGCCAGAGCTGATACTTCTAAGTGTGGGAAGGAACAAATACATGTTAACACATTGTTGCTTTGGCAGAGATCCCAGGGTAAAGACTGGGGGTGTTCAGGTTCAACTGGAAAAGCACATTCAGTCCATCACTGGAAGAAAAGGAATTCCATGGACTGTAATAAGGAGCAATGGGAGCAGAGAATTTCAGGACCTGGGTGATTCTTATGAACCACGAACCCGTGGATTATCGAAATGTGGAATTCTCAAGAGCATAAAGGACTTGCTTGAAGATGGGTGCCAGGAAGGCACTGCTTCTGTAGACAACATGAGGGGGAACACTGTTTAACATAAGCGCAGCATGGAAATCTGCCAAGAGCTGGCAGGTAACTCTGATCTAACTGAGAAAAGATGAGACACGTCCAAACTGGTATACAGAGGTTCATTTTTCTTTACAAAAAAAAAAAAAAATCAACAACACAACACTGTAGAGGATAGCAAGTCAGTGAAAGAAAAGAGGGAACTGGCAGCGAGGCAACTGAGGATCCTCTCCACCAGTAAAAAGAACCTCTCGTGAACTCACTGTATTTCGTATTTCTGAAGGAAAGTCTCCAGAATACTCGAACACAAATAGCCATCACAAAACACTGATGTCAGCATCATAAAAATACTGTTATGTTAAACACCTGAACTTGCTCGAGCTCACTGAGAGAAGGAATTTGAGAATTTAAAGCTGCCAAGTTTTGCCAGACGCTTCCTGCTCAGTTCCTCCCAGCAGTCACACCAAGCAATGTGCCACCAGCGCGTGGGTACCCGCGTGGAGCTATTCCTGCTCCCTCTATGCTGCCCCACAGGTTTAGCAGCCAGCGGGACATTCCTCAGTGCCGGCTCCAGGCAGGCTCACGCATGGTGTGACGAAGTGGGAAGGAAAAACAGACATCCAGTTTTTAACAAGATAACCTTCAGGATGCAGGCGACTTCTAAAAATACACCGGGCTGAATTATTGCACCATTTCACAAACTAATAAACTCTTCCAATCGAGGTCACTAGTCATTCATGTTTTCAAGCTGGATGTCTTACTATCACACTGTATGAAGTATTTACAGAAAAAAAAATGGGACTTGTTGCATAACAATAAAGATAGTCATCTGAATAAATGTATCACCACCAAAAAGTTACTTTGGGAACTGCATGCTCATTTTCAATTTTTTTTTTCTGATTTACTGGACAGTCTTAGTATACTGGCACACACGTAGAGGTTGCTTAGCATAATACTCCTGTTTTCAACTTTGCTTTATAAAAGTTACTCATTTTCTAAACTATGCTTTGATTGTGGTTGGACTCGATGATCTTTAAGGTCTTTTCCAAGCTGAATAATTCTGATTCTATGATTCAAACACAGTATGCTTGCACCAACAAATGCTTTTCGAGAGTCAAGATGAGATGTCAGCTATCCTGGTAGAAAGAATGCATTTACTTTTTTTTTTCTTTGTTTTTTATTAACACAGAGTTCTGTCTTATCCCTATCCATTTTTTTCATCCCTTAGTGTATTATAGTGAAAACATCAAATGTCTCCCACAGCATTTGGCTTACTCATACTTTCATTTAATATAAAAATACCATTTATATATATATATAGAACTCACTCAAGAGTTTTACAAAGATTTCTATTTGTCCCAAATAAAGAAGATATCATCTAGATCATATTAAACAACTGGTTAGTTCAATTAGCAGTTGCTCCAAGACACAGATACACAGTGTGAGACAGTGCCAACAGCCAGGCAGACTCTGTGACTAACAGTACTACCAACAGAGGAACAGAGTGGCAAGCAACCTCTATGTGTTTGTTAGCACCTACTAGAGACAAGCATTTTCCTGAAAACACCAGCAAGTTGGATCCCAAAGGCAGGTGGTGAGAGCTTCCCTGAACTTCTGACCGTTCTGTTTCCAGTGCATGCGACAGAAACAGGTATTGAGCTATTCATCGGAAACCAGGCAGACACCTCACACCTACAGCCTTACCATTTGCACAACTGTCATCCATACACCCCGTGGAACTTTCACGGGCTGCCTCTCAGCCTCTTTATTATCTCTTCACCTCAAACACACCCTTCAAATTACACAAGGACTATAAAGCCCAACACATTCCATTCTGAAATTTCAGATGATATGTATTCCTTCAGAGCTTTTGAAAGGTGCCAACTGTTTTTTGGTCTTTCCTGCTGTTACTCACTATTTGCATACAGAAGCCGGTCAAAATGAGACTCCATTATTCCAGGCATTTGATAAACACACAGCACAAGCCTGGGAGAGATCAGTCACTAAACTAACAACACAGACAAAAGCTGTGAGAAAAAAATTCTTATTATCTAAACTGAAGACAGACAAGGTTTCCTCCCACTGAATAACTTAAGGAATCCAGACTCAAATCACAAGAATCACATGAGGTTAACTCAGAATATGTCTGTGAGGTGGGGTCAGACAGATGTGTCTTCAGTGCATCCAGGTTCAATACAGCCAGTTGAAAAGCAGGTCCGGTCTGTAGGACATGTCACTCAGTGCAGTGCTGTGTCCGCATATTTGTCCTTGGGGTCTCAGGGTTGGGAAAAACAAGCAAGCAGCCAACCGATCAGTCAATAATCTGCCTCTTGGCAGGATGTATAACACGAGCACAGACCCACAGCTGTGTACTCCTAGGTCACTCCTATCTAGGAAGACCACACACACACCTCCTGCAATCTACAAGGTATGGGTAAGAATAGCATCTCACACTGAATGTAGCAGAAGGGAAGTTTTTTTCAGCAGTTCCATTGAAGGACCTACACTGCTACTGTCAAACATATTTAGAAAAAAACAAACAAACAACAAATTCTCTTCATCAAGCACAGGAATATTCTTCAAACAAAAAGAAGTGCAGCATTGGGGGATAGGTTTCATTTCCATTTCTATTTTCTCTCCCGTTTGCTTCAGCTTTTGCAGATAACTAGAGGAAGCCAAAGGATGTTCAGCAGAGGACAACAGGTGTTTCAGCAGGTATCTGTAGGTGTCCCCCTACGCTGTGCAGTATGAATTATTTGTACTTTATCTGCAATCAATAATAATGAATGAATCATTAAAACGCACTCCTTAGAGAAAAAGACTGCACCACGTTGGTAAGGATTCTTCTCTGTTAGTAATCATATACTTTCAGTTTATGCCAAATATGCTTATACTGTTCCAAAATTCTATGTACTGTCAGAAGAATTACAGGTTACTATGTAAATGATTTGTGAACAGCACAAGGTGCTCAGCTAATGGTAGGAAAAATGTCAGCATTACTCATCACAGAGTGCTCCCTTGACTCGGTGGAACATCCACTACAGAATCCCAGCTGACAGTTTCAAGGAATTGAAATGACAGAAACCAAAATGGACAAACAAGCAGATCAGCAAGCTCTTCTGGGAGTCAAAGACCAAGAACTAGACACACTCCCCACAAAACCCACAGTTTTACAGTGACTCAGCATTCTCTTGTACTTGTCAGTGGCCAGTATTTGCAAGCCCATTGTTTACACATCGCTCTGCCATCAGACATCAGCAACAACACGCTCTGTGACAGTGCAGGCTATCTACATATCTGCAGTACTAGAAAAGTGTTGACAAAATGCAGCGAGTATAGGATCAGGAAGATGTTCAGGTACTGTGGCATGCGGCTCAAGGAACAAGTGGAAGAGCAGAGACTGGCAACCAAATGGGAGCCAACCTCACCTGGGAGGTGGACAGGGACAGACAAAGAGGAGATGGACACGAGGAACAGAAATTTTGATTAGAATTCAGGAAAAAATTTCACAGCCTTCATGAGTAAGTTGTGGGGTTTCAGTCCCTGCAGATATCAGACCCTGGTTAAACAATACCCTGATTAAACCCTGAGCAATCCCATTCAACTTCAGAGCACAAGCTAACTTCTAAGTTGACTCTGCTCTTGTAGAGCTGGGCAAGATGAGCTACAGAGGTTTCTTTGAACTTAAATCAATCTTTTTTGTATTTATCATAAAATGAGGAGTGCATTCTGCTAGTTTCCTGCCAGGAGAAAACATGCAACCCCTCACTTCCTAAAAAGCAGCACCTCTTACAAGTAACACAAATGCTTCCGCTAGAGGTTCTCTCTACCTCACAGTGTTAATTAGAAGTCATCTGAGACTTTGCATGGGCATGAGCGCCTGTGTTGTGGCACCTGCTCCTGGCCACAGCACAAAAGACAAAAGGAGAATGATGGTTTCCACCAGGCCATGCAGCTTAAACTTCTTCTGCTTGGCTAATTACAGCCTGATACCGATCTGTGAGCTGGGACACAGATCCTTGTGGACACTGCATTCCTCATGCACAGCCTTCTCTCAACAGCAGCACCAGACAATCTAACAGTGGCTTACCACAATGAAACAGCAACTATAAGAAGTCAGTTCTAGGATGCATTATGGCCCCTCAGTCTGCCGTCAGTTCTTCAAGGTACTTATGGAGTTTCTCTGACAGTAGAAGGAGCACTGTAATTAATGTAAGGAATAGCTATCAAGGAAAAACAGAGTATTTTATTAAAATACCAGTTGTTCTTCTGGTGTCCGGGTCTACTGGAAACATGGGATTGGGAAATTCATCATGCACACCTGTTTTGCAAACGTTGACAATTCAGACACTCCTTGAAACAGATGTCCTAGATGACCAAAGGATTCACTTATCCAAAGGTTCTCTTTTATCAAACTAATATATTTCATTTTCATTTCAGAATTTCCAAGTACAGTTCCAAAGTCAGGCTAATGAAAAGTGACAGAAATTCTGCAGACTTGCGAATGAAGGATTTGGGCGAGATGATAACTGATTTTCTTTAGATCAGTTCTTTAAATTAAATGCAATGATTTTATTTTTTTTTTCCAGAAGATACCATAGGAAAAGAATAATCTCTTATATTGATCAGCCTTTGTCTGCCTTTTCCTCTTGTTTTGAGGAGCACTGAGTGGTGAAAGATTTGATAGCAGACTGAGTTAGCTCACAGTACGTGTCTGCATGAACAAACAGGCGTGAGAAGGAAAACTGTACAGAAAGTCTGCAAGGTGTAAGAAGTGACTAATATAGGAATAGCATGTACAAAGATACACTGTTATCTGATAACATAATATGTAGGCAAGCCATTAATTTTTTTAATGTTTGTTTTGAAAGCTAAAGAGAAGGGATTTTCCCTTGCATGGGAAGATCTGAGCATAGAACAGCTCCTCAAGTTTTTACTTTAAAATTCAAGCTGCTAAAGGAAGAGCTGCCTACTCTTAATAGTTTCCCATCCTTCCCACTAGGGAAGACACAACTGTTCCTAAACATTGCCATTTTGGCTATAATTCTGTAAAACAGATTCTAGGCCAAGGAGTTTCCTCTCCCCTCTCTCCTGCTCCCCCTGTTCTCTCTCCGTGGCCATCTGTGAAAGGTTTGTTCTCACGACTATCCCACAACTTGCCAAGCTTTGTCTAGGAAATACAGTGCAAGCAGGGATCAACCAGAGTTCCTTAAAGAAACTCGAAAACTTTTAACTACAATCAACTGAAAATACAGAAATTCTGTGGAAAAAAAGCATCTTCAGCAGGAGATTGCTTACAAGCAAAGCAGGTGCTTTGAAGTTGCATGCAAAAGATGAGGATATAGATTTTGAAGTTCGGGACTTTGAGCTATAACATCCTGCATGAAGGTATCAGTTTGTGGACTCCTCCTTACCAGGTAACACAGAGTGCACTCTACTGTCCAATTTCAGAGGCTGAAGCTTCAGATGACCTTCAGGTGCATTTTAAAGTCAATGAGTTAAAACTGGCCCTTCTAAGTTGCAATTCAGTTAGCCTGCTTTAGACGCTTGCCCTAGGGTAAGATGAATTGCACACCAGACGTGCCTATTTGTCCTCCTTGATTATAAAGAGAACAACTAGTTCAGATTTAGATAGCTGAAATTAGAGGATAAGGATGCCATCTTGTATTTGTACATGAAGTAACTCAAACTAATTATATTCACCGTTTCAATAACATAATAGTTTTGCTCTCCTATGGTATTTAGTATTACCAAAAATGATGCAAAATGTCATCTTAAGACAATTACAG